TGTATCCCAGCCACCAAGTGTCGTCGTCCATTTGAACCGCCACCGTGTTCAGGTAGTCGATCGAGTTGGCATCCGCTAGTAGCGGCCGATACAGCCCGATCGCGGGCGGATTCTTTTATCGATCTGCAACAGAAAGCCGGTGCACAAAAATACGCGAATTCGTTATTTCATTTCAAGAAATTGATGCACTGTAAATCTGTAATTATTTATAGCGCGTATAGCATGTTTCCCTCATCGGCAACACCGCCGGCGAATTAGATAAAACCTCCCCGTTATTCGACCGCCGCTATTATACATGTCGCTGTGCAACGCTGTCATGCCATTTCTTTAATAATAATTATTTTGATTTACGTGAACTTTCAAAGAATTGCTTCTGTATCGCGAATTTTATACAGCAGGCATGTGTCAAGATTTAGAGCACGAAATTATTAGGTTAGAGAGATACATCAGCGCTAAAATAGACTGATTTCATTTTGCAACGGCAAAACTCAGTGCTTCTGCATTTCTTATCGGCAAAAATATCCGGGTGACTGCCGTTTGCAGCTATTCTGCATTCGTTACGAAAAAGTGCACATTTTTATAAAATGAGCCGCTATAGCCAACAAACAGATGGTTGGGCGCGGGGGAAATAGAACTTACGGTTTACAAGCAATTGTGAGCGAAAGGTTACCACTGGCTTTCGGCTGGTTGCATCATGGGATGGGATGCAGAAGACAGTCTTTCAAGCTGGCCGGGCTATTTATATATATTACATAATATAGGTTATTTTACTGTAAAACATTTTAATTTGCAGAGACGTGGTTTCCATCTACAGATACACACTGTTTTTTAGACGGTTCAATTTGCGCTGCAGTACCGTACTGGTAATAGAATTCATGAAGTATAAACGCAAAGTCAGATTAAAATGCTTGCCGAAATGATGGCGAAACACTGCCGGTAAGCACTTAAGAATTTGACTAATCTATTAGACAACCTGAGAAGATGCCTGTCTAATACAGCGTATCCGTTATCCGCTTTCTGTGAATGTTTTGGATGATACGGTAATATTCTCCGAATGTTCGCCAGATAAGCCGTCCAATATTTACCGGCCGTTGCATAACTGGCATTCCCCTTTCAAATCTGTATTAATCCATGTGGTACTGTAATTAATAGCAAAGCCAGAGTTGCCCATTCTCAGCGACTGGCCAGCCTAACCAGCTGGACAATGAGTGCACCGTGCACGCAACACGAGACAAAGACTCGCCTTATGGGCACCGCATCCTTTTCAGTCTTCTTCAGTTCCGTGCCTGTTATGGACACCGTCGAGAAAGCTGAAATGTCTAAGGAGCTTCTGTGTTCGTAATTGCTTTTTACCACGTGTTCAATTGGTGGCTTGAAATACCCGTTTCCCGGTGTTAAATTTACTACAGTAGTTAGGTAAATTATTAATTTTATGCAATATTATTTATCTTTATATTACTTTTAATATTTACTTTGTTTATATTATTTGTACAGTTATTTCAGCAATCACGGCAACAGTCCCGTTTTCTTGAACATCCATATCTTACCATCAACGAATCCATCAGTCGAATTAACCTTATTTATAAGGGTGAGACTACAGGCACCCCTTTCACCCCCTTTTGCAACCTGTTTTACTATAAGCACCCCTTTTCTATTAGAAAATTTTCACAAAGGATGTTTTGACGATCTGACATGATTAATTCTCGCATTCACATAAGAAGGTGTACGAGTAGGCACTCCATCCGGCAATGGGCCGGTTTGGTTGATCAAGCCAGCATATTAACGCGCTATGCGTAGCTTGCGCATATTACGTACGTGTTATGACGTACGTGTTGTCTGTACCGTTACGTATGACTTGCTGTTCTTATCTAACGCATTTGATCGCTAATTCGATCCACGATTCTGGTTAATGGATCAGTCTGAAGTTTCTAACTTCAACTAAATCTGTGAGCTTGTTTCTAGCTGAAAGGTCGTGTGACTCTAGGTTAGAAGGAAGTTCATATCTCGTTCTGTTCTGTTCTGTTTGCTTGTTCGTTCGGTTTGGTGATTAAACATTTGGGAAGTTCCTGAGTGTTTTGGTTTCGGTAACTTTCGTTAGGCACAGCAATCCGCTCGTACCTAGCGGAAGTAGGCAGTAGTACCACTTACGGAGTCCAGAGCATATTCCCACTCTACCGATTGAGTAGGTTTGGTCACCTAGTGCGGTTGTCGCGGTGCGACTTCCGCATAGCATGTCAATATTGGAAGTATTACCAGTTAGCGATAAGAGGAAAAACTAATCTGCAAAAACAGTACTCGCATCCGTCACATGCACACACAAACCAACAAACTTATTTTGGTAGAAAACAGAGATCTGCGCAAAGCAGCCGGATATTCGTCAGCGACTTGTCGGTGTGCCCTACTCAACATGTGTACTTATGGTTAGTACAGTATCTTAAGACCTCGCCGCACATCGATGTTACAACACGAGCACTCAGTAAATCAGGCTTGGCACTAAGTCACTACTAACAAAGAGCAAATAATAATTTTATTGTTTTGCTTTCGAGGAGTTGCCGGTAGTCCGCCGCCGTCCCACACGAAAAGCAATAAATGCCGAAGCCGAACTTAATGGGCTGTTATTATGGAGATAAATTGATCCCCGCAACAATTATCTCGCTACAACGCCGTGGGGTTATCGTGGCAGTGTGTGGGATTCTTCGTTGTTGTTGAAGCAGTCGAGATATTCCAAAACGAATTACAATTTCTTTTTCGGACTGACAGCAGTGCAGTATAAGATCTCGCAAGTAGAAACGATCCAACCTGCTGCCGTACGTAGAGAGAACAACTTTGTTTTGCTTTATCCGGCAGAACAACCCAGACTGAATAAGAGGCGCGTCTTTTCTGGGACGCGGCTATTGTTTGCGATGTCAGCCTTATCCGTTATTCTATTTCAAAATGTTCTAATGACCTGCTCAGTATGTAGGTCAGTGGTACAGCGTCTGCAGTGCTTCGCAAATTGAAAGGAAGACGAAGCATTTGCAAGGTGTATATATATCCGTGCAGTGTCAGCATTTCGTTCGAGCATCAGCGTTAAAAATTCTCAGTTAATTGACTAAGCGGTCGAATTAAAAAGACAATTGTCTACTAGTAGTCACGCTTGGTGTGATGCAGCCAATACGGTTGGGGTCTCCACATGGACCCCACAAAGGTTACGGTTCACTTTACAAAGGGGCAGCATGCATCGTCCTCCAGGTAGAACGGCGCGCTGCCGTTCTACCGGGAGATCGGGGGGCATCGAAATCCAAGTGGGATGAAGATAGCGCAGCTGGCGAACGGTGCGTCCACCTGGACTGTTACCCTTATTATTACCGAAGTGGCGGCAGGACTGAAACGCAAGATGCAGCGCGTGCTTGATGCAGGCTCCTCGGAACACGTCGTCAAGAGCTTGCATGAAGCGCGCCCTACACCTTCCCGCCGGTCACGGCGCGACGTGCTGCCGATGTCACCGGCTGGGGGAGCGCAAAGACGCCGTATTGTGGCTCTTCCCGCGGAGTGGGAACTCCTACACACTGGAAAATGTAGTGGGGACTGATTCCCCTTTCAGCGGCAATTACATTTTCCCGTGAGTATTTAATTACAACTGTTTGCTGTGTGCACTGGCAACGAGCTAAATCGTTATACATGTGGCTGTGCTGCACTGCGCATTTTTAATTTTTACATACGAAATTCTACACTGAAACAGAAACGTGTATCATCCCTCTCCTATTCCTCCCTGTACCGCATGTTCCATGCCTAACACAACTGTCTATAGTAACGCGAATAATTCTAAAAACGCTTGACTTGCAAATATTTTTCCCGAAATCGAAGTTGATAATTTAAAACCGGAATAGGTGACCGGAAACTTGGATATACGTTAAACCGCAGCTTATTTTCAGCGGCGGTAGAAAGCGAAGCAAAAAAAATTTCAGGAGGTGACGGGGCACTGCATTAGTGTATCGGCCAGTTTCCGTCTGACCTTTGCGCTTTATTCTAAAGGACCTTCCTTTAGCAGATGGCTGAGCTGTTCGACAGTTATTTCGCTTATTTAGATATGTAAATAGACTTCTGATAACACCTAATAAACTGCAATAAAAACCAGGGATTTATGTTTGCCGCGTCATTATTCACCGAATCCAGTTTTACGAATCGAACTGGCTTGTCGTACCGAATGTAGCAGATCTAGAGCGGAAAATGAATCCACCCGAAATGGCGCCGTATTTCTTGGACACTGGATGTTAATCATCTGACATTAATTCTTGATGTTTGGAGAGAGGACAGGTTTAAAATTCCACGCTAGATTGTCAACCGAGCCGGAAATGGGCTACCTGCTCCGACTGCAGTTAAATTAAACTAGAAAAATGCACGTTGGCCGTGCTATGGCAGACCAGTGTAAGGCGTAACAGTAAGGTAACATTGTAAGGCGTAATTTGCGGCATTAACAGTCAACACACCAGGCGGGTGCCAAATAGGCAAAGGCTCTTTCTTAAATCCCTAAGAAAGTTTTCATTATTTGTATGTCCTTTAAACCTGGACGTTTGATCCTAACTTTTCCCGCTTTATTTTTTATACTTAATGTCGAAAACGATCAAAAGGATGGTTTTCGAGAAAACGGGTGGGCAAAATTTAGTCTCTTTTCTACCGGTTTCCTTCGAGTGCGGATAACTCGACAACCACAGCAGTAAAAAAAAATCCCAAAAATCGTTCTGTACTAAAAAGTATGGGCTACAAACCAAGATTGTGTACTGGAAAACTGAGCAACTGGTCTGTGTTTAGTGATCATTAAATCAATGGGAAGTAGCATGCAACTTCTCCCACTAAAACCAACACTGTTACAATCACTACAACGAACATCACCTGCTGCGCACTGTTCAACTTCTAGATCGATTTGCGTCACATTTCGTTATTCACGGACCACGTCGATTCTGTCCAATCTTCAAACTGATAATTTCTCATCTCTCAGTAAGGTCGAACCTTTTTTTAAAATGCCTAACGTTATTCGTACGAAACGTGCAATAGATGAAATTGAGTCTGGTAGCGAAGCGTATTCAAGTGATAGTGAATGTGTCGACACAGACAGCGACATATCCGATGCTGAACCAGAGGAGGCCGATTATGAGTCAGATACGGTGTCGGAGGACGAAGACTTTGTTTATTCGTACACCTTCAGAGCGAAAAATAACGTGGAGTGGTCGACCGCGAGTGGTGATACCGGAAAGACCAGAACTGCGGACAAAATGACTGGAGTACCAGGCGTGCGGCCTCATGTGCGAGGAACGGTAGCCAAACTGGTTGATGCTTTCAATGTTTTTTTCACAAAAGACATGAAAGCCATAATTCTTATCCATACCAACGTGAAAGGAAAGCTTATGTTTCCGAAGTCGTGGACGGAGTTGGATGCAATCGAACTAGACGCGTTTCTGGGCTTGTTGATTCTACACGGCGTGAATCATGAAAGCAAAAAGCCATTGTGCCAGCTGTGGAACGAAGCGAAGGGTCGACCCATTTACAACGCCACCATGTCTCGAAACCGTTTTAGCGAAATATCTAGTGCACTCCGTTTTGACAATAAAAAGTCACGATACCTACGCGAACTTACTGATAAACTGGCACATATTCGGGAGTTGTTTGAATTGTGGGTACCAACGTTGCGAAATTCCTATCTACCTGGTCCTTATCTCACTATAGACGAGCAGCTGTACTCGTTCCACGGCCACTGCAAATTCAAGCAGTATATTCCGAAGAAACCCTCAAAGTACGGGCTGAAGAATTTTATCTTAGCTGATTCTGCCTCGAAGTACTGCTGCAACATACAAGTGTACACGGGAAAATCTCCGGGCGCCCCTCCAGAAAGAAATCAAGGGCGCCGTGTTGTTTTGGATCTTGTGCAGTACCTAGGAGTCGACTCCGGAAGAAATGTTACGACAGACAACTTCTTCACAGATCTCGAATTAGGTAAATCGTTTTTAGTTTGTATAACTACTTTTAAAAATGCCTGAGATTTTTTATGGACATTCGTATTTGAATTGGGTCGACCCTGATATCAATATTTGCAGGTCTTGAGCTGCTCAAACGAAATATTACTCTGGTTGGCACGATGCGCAAGAATAAGCCAGATATACCCGCAGCTTTTTTACCATCCAGAGAACGTGCCGAATTTTCCAGTCTTTTTGGTTTCACAAAGGAAGCCGCACTTGTTTCGTATGTTCCAAAGATTGGCAAAGCAGTTATACTTCTCAGCACCCACCACCGTGATGCTGCGGTTGAAACGACCAGTGACAAGAAACCTGTCATCATCACCACATACAACGAAACGAAAGCTGGAGTCGACTCCCTGGACCAAATGGTTACCATGTACAGCGTGAAGCGTCGCACGCGTCGTTGGCAGGTAATTCTGTTCTACGATATGGTTGACATATCTGCGTTAAATGCGTTTGTGGTGTGGATCGAATTAAACCCTGCTTGGAGCCGAGCAAAACACCGTAGACGACTGTTTTTAGAATCGCTAGCAGAAGAGCTGCTAGAATACCCTATGCGTCGACGCCTGGAACTGAAACACATTAGCGCCACGGTGCGCGGTACTATCAAGGCATTACTCAAGATTCCAGAGGAAACGGGTCGACCCATGCAGCAAATTCTTGCGCCTCCCTTTACTGGCCAGAAGCGCTGTAAAGTGTGCGCGAAAGGTACGGATCGAAAGACAACTAAATACTGTGTTTTGTGCAGAGTTCCTGCTTGTGGTGAGCATACTTATAATATTTGTGTTAACTGTGTGTATAAAACAGTCGGTGAATAAAATGTCAATTTATTTCGCATTGCGTTCCTGCTAGTTACGGACAACGTTCACAATACAGAAATTTGGTAAAGGGTGATGGAAGGCGGTCAAAATTGCAAGCAAACGAGTAAATCGGAGTCGACTCCAAAGCAAAACAATACACATACGTCTTTGTGATGTTCTTCTCCAGGAAAAATTGCATTCATACACTGCACGAGTTCCTTGGGATAAACGACCGATTTGGGCAGCGCCACACGTTTGGAATTCTGCAACATAGAAAAAACGAAATATTTATCGCACTACCTTAGATACGATGGGTCGACCCGAAACAGTACAATGACTCAAGGCTGAAATTTCTGCTTAAATCTCGCTTGTTGTTTACGAAAAATGCCGATTAATTTTAAAACATCTTAGTTGGTTTTTTACCTTGATTTTCGTCCATATCTGCCGATAGACTGAATGCCTGGCAGTCTTGCCAGTTACTGTAGACGCTCCCGCAGTACACTGTCCACGATATTTCCCAACCACGTTGGCGAATTTAATCTACAATTTAGTAGATAGGATGGAGACGAGTCCCAAAATTTTCCGCTCAAGTGCTTCACAGTTCTTACCCAACGGAGGAAAAGAGATTCCCCAATTCTTCATGCATGTCAAAGAGAATTCGTAGTAACGAAACAACAAGGAGTCAGGCAGCAAGCAATCCACGCTTTCAGCAACGATAAATGGGTCGACCCAGTCCAAGCAAAAAAGTCAGAGTGAATCTTAAGATAGCGATCTAAGAAATATTTTAAAATTGAAAATCATGAAAATCATCTCACTTTGTTCTAATGACTTAAATTTTAACGCACTTCAGCATCGTTCTGTTCGAATGATTGTTGCTAGAATTGTACCTAGGTGATGTTGCACAGTGATTTATGCTAGTTAACTAGATTATCCGTATTGTTGAACCCGGGTAGAAAAGCCGACTCCGCCTCTTGCCTATTCTGTGCCCGCTTGGTGTTGGGACAAACAATTTTTCTTGGTGATTTAACTGTTAATTGCTGTTACTTCCGTAATAAACTTCCGTAACGGACACACATATATTTTTGCATTGGTGCTGAATTTAGAGCAACTTCGCTACACTCCGGTCGACTATGATGCAACTGGCGGAACTTGTGTATCCGCAGCACATCGATGCCTGTGACATGTTTCAGCACAGATCGGTGGGAGGCAGCGCTGTTAAATAAATCGGCCAGGTACGAACCGCATTAGTGAACGCGTCCGTAAATATGTTCATATTGTATAGTTTTAGTACGAGTACGGTACATCCGACGTTTTTGTGGTAAGTCGACTTAATTAATAATACGAGTACTACGTAGTATAAACTTGAACGAAAATTGCGTATGTAACTGATTCCTTGAGCCCTTAGGATAACTGACAAAGCACTGATGCACTTATTATACGGACCGCCTGAGACGTGAGTCACTTTAAGTCTACATTGCTAGCTACGAATTGTGCAATATAAATGAAATTATTATTTATATTTGCTTTTTTACCTTTTTTAAATTTTACAGCACTTTTTGCGAATTGCGCTTAAATTGCTTGTAAGTTAGTAAGTAATTTATAATTCTCTAAGAAAACTAATTGTCTATGATAATTTTATCAGTGATAAACCTATTGTGACGTATTGTCAGTTTGAACGGTTTCGCATGTTTAGATGTCAGACAAAATTTAAAGCTGTATTCTGGAGCTCAGCTGCTATTCAAGTTTTGTGCTGAAGCAACACTACAACAATCTCTCTGATCAGTCTGATCCGGAATTATCCATTTTCATGTGTTTTCTCTCGTTCAGGATTGCATCCCGTATCCGCTTTATGAATAAAAGCTATTATTGAGCGACACTCCTGAGGGACAGCCCATGTTTCCTCCTATTGCCCATTTATAGGATACGGGTAGCACTAGCTGTAACAGTGGGCGAGCATCGGATGAAGTTCGTTCTGCTTCGAAAGCGGAGTGGAGTGCGCGAGGGACGCCGCGCCTGAGTGCTTGCCGCGATGATCCCGCGACGCCCTGTACCCTGGCCGTCGTGCTGGCTCGGAATGGGTGCTGCTGTGCCAACAAAGACCCTTATGCTACGGACCCCTGTGCGTCCGCTGCGCGCCCTGGGACGGGGGCTCGTGGGCACTGAATGGCAGGCTCCCTGTTGGCCGCACGCAGCGCGCGGACTGAGCAGCCACCCCGCCCCCGCGGGCGGCAGCCCCAGCGTCAGGGGTGGACCGAATGGCGCCCCTGCGGAAGGGGATATCCGCGCTGCTCCGCCGTCTGTCCGTGCTGACGCTATGGCACCCGCCCCCGAGCTCCCCAAGCCATCGTACTGGCAGCGCTTCAAGGAGATGTACAAATCCTACTGGTACGTCCTGCTGCCCGTGCACGCCCTCACCTCCGCCGGCTGGATGCTGCTCCTCTACTACCTGGTCAAAAGGTGCGTGTGCAGTGTGCAATTAGCTTGATTTTTTAAGTTCATTGGATTTATTTTAAATCAATTAAATTAATTTCCTTTTTTTATTTTGCGTGATTATTTTGCGGTCAATACTCGTTACCATTATTTACAGTGTTATTAATATCATCCATATTAAACTATATAATATTAAACAAATTTATATTATAACAATATAATACAGAATATTAATAAAATAATTTAATATTTACACAGCATCCACTTTAAGTTTAGATACGGCGTGCGTTATTAATTTGTTAAAAAAAATGTTAACTGTATTATTTCGCGTGTAATATTTTGTTGCTGTTGTCATTAAGTCATTAATTGCAGTGTTATTATCTACTTTTTGTCCGTAATAAAAAAAGCATACTAAACAGTTTGAGAGCTCAGTAATTTATTTACATATTTAATTGGTAGATCTCACGCCAAGTTCCCTTTACTTAAATGCGCCGTTAAACCGTTTATTTGTATGATAATTTGTACATACAGTATTTGTTGCATTTTTTATTAATTTATTTTGTTACTTCGTGTTATTATAATAATAGAGCAGTTAGAGTTTTACAGAACTATTTTTTCTTTGAATTTTATTATTTATTATTGTCACAAAAAGGTGACTGATTTCCCAGATGAGTAACTTTTATCTCATAAAATCAAACCAAAAAAAAGTATAAAATTTTCGAAATACCAAAAGCTTTTTTCAATAGCTTTAAAAGTCTCCCAAGTGGAGTTTGGCTACGGTTGTTAGAAAATATTGAAATAATAATAGCACTCACTTAACAGTTAACAAGTTAACAGTAATTATTTGTTGTGTGCTGTAGCGGCGTGGACATCGTGGCACTGCTGGAGAAAGTGGGCGCCAGTGAACAACTGCTGGAGCGCTTCCGGCTGGAGTCGTCGCGGTCGGCGACGTACGCGTACCTGGCCAGTGCGTACGCGCTGTACCACGTGGTGGCGCCGCTGCGCTACGCCCTGACGCTGGCGCTGACGACGCTGGCCATCGCCTACCTGCGCCGCTGGGGCTACATCCGGCCGCTGCCCTCCAAGGAGCGCCTGCAACAGATGGTCAGCCAGGCGCCCACGCACGTCCGCCGGATGGTCCGCCGCCGGCTGGACGCCCGACACAAGGCCCGCGCCGAACACTGTGATAAAAACAATTCTCCCAAGCAGCAGTGAAGCAGCAGAAGAGTTCCAAGTCAGCCCGTTGTACGAATGCACGTGAAGTACCGTGTGTGATTTGACTTCCGGTATCCAGAATTCAGCGTGCTGACAGTGGTGCGCAGTGCATCGTAGCGCCATTTGCGGACCGAAAGTAGCACTGCTTGTTATCCGGGATAATGTTCCTCAGTGATTTTAATTTGTTGGCTTGTGGCTTGGGAATGCAGGCCTAAGAACTACCAACGCTGCGATGCCTGTGTCATGTTGTAACGCGTTGGGTGGTATTTGTGGGCGAACTTGACGGCGGTCTTTCTTTACTAATCACTTCCGGTTCGGCTGAACGGGATTGTCGGTCACTAAATGGTGACGGTGTTGGTGCAATCAGCGTGATGCATTGTCTAAAGCACTCGTTCTACTTTTCACCGTTCGGTGTCGAGGATTCAAGCTCGAATTAAAAAGACCGTGAAAACTATATTACACCGGCCATGAAACTGATTAAGGAAAATGGCCCGGTACATAGCGTCGAAATTTGGATACATACACTAAAACTTTCGCTTGCGCGCTCTCCGAATCACTATTTTGCAATACTTTAGGTCATTCTAAAGCTAAGTGATTTGTTCAGACAACCGTATGCGTGCGCAACTTTTGATCGCCAAGATATGACGCAGTAAAAAGGGTGAAAAGTTAAAATGCATTTTTGTGTACCAAAAATCTGGTTATTACCCGATCTTCTTGAAACTTTGCTGGAAAAGACACATAGCCATAAAGTCAAAAGTGAACCAATATCAGATTCATAGCTTTTTTAAACGCTTTTAAAATGAATTTCAAAAATTTTAAAATTCATTTTAAAATGATGGGAAAATGCTATGAACCTGAAATCGGTTCACTTTCGACTTTTACGGTTGTGATAAATAAAAATTTTTTTTGTGTACTGCTCAGATCAGTCTGATCAGTTTTGTGCTGAAGCAACACTCCAACAGTACAACTGTGCCATGGCACAGGACACTAATTACACAAAGTTTCCCAATTTATACTTGTCGATGACCACGGTTCCTTTCAGTCAAGGAAAATCCTGGGTGTCGGACGTCACCTGCCCAGATACCATGGCCACCAGCTACATCGCGAAGACATCCCAGGAAGCCGGCGCAGCCGCCGCCATGGCAGAGGCAAAGAAAAACAACAAGCACGGCGTGTTTTTACATGACCGTTTTATTTTTTCCGCTATGGTTTTCGAAACAATGGGCGTATGGAGTAAAGAATCAAAGTCCAAGATCAATGTACTTGGTAAGATGGTTTTTGAGCGGACACACGAGAAAAGGTCCACCCAGTTCCTGAAGCAGGGAATTAGTATTGCTCTGATGCGGGGTAATGCTGCTTGTGTTCAGGAAACGTTTTGTATCGGTAAGAGGCTGGATGAAGTGTATTATGTGTTGAAATGATGTAACGCGTGATTTTTTGTTTGACAATTATTGTTAATTTGAATAACCCAATAAATTCGCCTTGTCGATCGTTGTGGCCTTTGAGTACATACTGTACATGACATACTACAGACTGCACATATCCGGACGGTAACCCCATGGATGCGCAGGTGTACAAGCTTGTCCAGCAGTTTCTATCGTAAAGGTACAGGTATTTAGGGCGAAAGCTGCACTATGAACGATTGCCAGTACATGTCGTCGGCCAATGCCAAAACGCCGGCAGAATTTCCGGCCGTCTTTGGTTATTTACTGAACACCTACTGGCCGATGATGCGAATGCATAGTGGCCGATCATCGGGCAGTTGTGGTGTTCGTAATCAGTAGTTGGTAAACGTTAAAGGAGATCGGTAAGAAGTTGTTTTTAAGGACGGGCGAGAGTCGCTCTACTTGTTTTTTGTTTCAACGTTTAAGTTTGGAGATTATGCGCGGTAATGCTATGAGTGTGTTGTGCACAGTCCCTTCTCATGTTAATTGGGACAAATTCTTCATTTGATCATATTTGTTGAGCCAAGCTCGCCTGGTATACATATATTGAGAAATAAATGTTATGAGTAGTTGGTAGTTGGTACACTCACCACGGTCGGTATCTCTGGGTATGTGATAACTGCACCGAGTACACGGGGAGTTCACGACAGACGAAATCTGGGACTCAAACTCTCTCGGCATTTTACTTAGAATTTACTACCAGCTTATCGAAAAAGCCTTACCGTCAGTAAATTGACATCTGCTCTTAACTATAAGGCTTTCGTGGTAATAGGAGTCCACGAAATTCCAGTTTATCGTGTGCTACAAGTAGTTAATAAAAATTGCCTGTATACACACTGAAGTACAGAAGTTTATTTTACTCCAAATCCGTAGTTTCTGTTACAGTAAGTTTCTAAATTTTTTTGACAGCAGTCGGTAAATGTTTACTGTGTGCTTCATTTTAGAGCACTGCACAGGCAAAATATGACAAATCGTAACTTTTTGTTGGAATTTCTTGCGTAGAGGAATGAACTTATACAGACAGTATGACTGTATTGTACAGTAGTTAAAAAAACCTGACTCTGTACTTGTATAATTTTTAAAATATTAAATTGCAAATGACAAGTTTTCTTTTGTCATCTTTCAGCGTATTAATTGCTCTAAAGTAGAGGAAAAAGGAAAAAGGGGGAATATTTATTGAACTGTTGCTAAAACATATTTTTAGTGGTAGAAATTAATTTGACCAAAATGTTGGGTTTCATCGTGAACTCACTGAGTGTTTAGTGTCATTAGTAATTACCGATGCTCTTAGATCGTACTGTCTATTACTGACCCAAGAACACCGAAAATTTGCCCGGCGTTTTGATCACACAAAAGTTCGACCGGCAGAAAATTCTCTCGGCGCTTCGACGTGTACGGGCCGGCGCAAAGGGTTGAAATCCTTTGAAAGACTTTGTCGCTGTACGTGAGCCGCTTCTCTCTTTACATAACGTTTAAAATTTAACCTTTTTATTTAGTCACACTCTACGCGAGTGAATTGTCATATGTACTGGCTGCTGCCGAAATAAAGAAGTTCGACAATTGCAGTACTCTGTACACATACACATCAGTACGCCTGAGAGCAGCCCGAGGCCCTCTTTTTGACCAAAGTGAAATTCCTCCCTCACAAAATTCCTCCCTCTTTTTGACCCTGGCCCAGCCCTACACGAACTGAAATAATCAAATTTTAAACATTTGAGAAACATCCAAAATTATTAATGTCGCAAAGTTTAATGTGTTCCTAGATTGTACGTACCTAACATCCAAACGTTCGATTGGCGCTAGAGTAGTACTTGCAGTGCGCAGTTTCTACGTACTTCATAGCAAAGAGATGATGATAATAAGAAGGAACCAGCCACAGGGTAAACCATAATTAAACTCCAGAATTTACCCTGACGTATGAGGCTCCTTTGCGCGTTGATATAACGGAAATATTTTCTTCCTGAGGTTTTTCGAAATACAGAAATAATCTCGCAAAGCGCAACGTTAAGGATACCATCTGACTGTCTGATGTAGTGTATGATAGAATAACTGCATTAGTGTGGTAATATGCTGATGTGACGATTTATGCAGCCACGGGTCCCCAAAAGGCAGCAAAATCTTCAATTTGGGATTTCACTATACACATAAAATGTAACTGTAACTCTGTAATGTGGTTCGCACATTACATGTATCTGTACGTACATGTGCCGACAGTAAACACGAAAGTCGTCAACTGTCTTTTCAGGTCATGTATTAATTTCCGGTTTTCCTGCCTGCGCGTTACCAGTACATGTTTCATTCTGCGTCAACATGTGGTGGAAAAAAACAGCAAATTTATGTGAACGATAATGTGCAGACAGAAAATAACAGTGATAAATAAATAAAAGCACAATAATTTCGTGCTTCATAAGGTTTCCCGGCCGTGCAGGAGTGCTAGCCGAATTTACTGTCTGACAAAGTCACCGGCCGCGGTAACTCTTACTAACCAAGCGACGCTTATGACGATACAGTTTATATTATTATCAGGACCTACGTACTGTATAAAGTGCAGGTCCTGATATTATATATGTACTCGTAAGTCGTAACTGTACAGGTGCATCAAATTTATAATCACTTGCAGCATGAAATAATTATACGGTAATATTCACCAGTATCAGCATAATGTAAATGCCAAATTTATTCGTAGTACGTGTGACTGCATTTTAACAGTACTGCGGTGTTTCAGTATACATAATTATTAATCCCCATAATTTCAGTAACATAATTAATTTCAGTAACATAATTATTCAGTATATGTACAGAACTATGTATCCCCATGGATGCGCACCAGAAATGCGCACATTTACAGAATACAGATGTAACGGTTGTGCAAGTACAAGTATGTAATTCTTACATCAAGGAATTATCTTCAGCTATTAAAGTGCCGGCGCTATGAAACAGACAAACACACTCGCCATACGAGGCACTTTCATTGTCTAACTGCGGTACTCGTATCGATAGAATTAATCATTAAAAATTTCGGTAACATTCAAAATTGCGACCACACGTCCAAGTCCCGCTTAGCGGGTTGTCTGCTCTTGATGAAATAGCGGATTGCGGACCACATGCACATGTATATTAAGCTGACAGTCAGTAATTAGTAATTTTAGGGATGTGGCCCGGCACATGGTACAAATTCGTGTACATGCACGAAATCTTTCACTTTAACGCACTCCCAAACCCTTTTTCCTCTTGCTTTACGACATTATTCTGTAGCTGAATTTAATGATTTGTAAACAGAGGCGTGGAATCCGTTTTCCCGTGCAACATTCGGTTGCGAAATCGGAAGTTATAAGGATGACAAAAATTCCAAAAAGTCTAAATGCATTCCGGTTAATTAAAGTGTGAATGTACCAAAATTTCGCCCTTACCAAGGAGTTAGGAAAGCGTCTGCGGGACCACTCCGGAGGAAAACGTCAGCGACTTTCACTGGAGATACAGCGGGGCAATGCGGCGTCAGTTATGGGTACAATGAGCAAGGCGGAAAAGTTAAATGAACTCTGGATGTTATAGTGTGGGTTTTTCGCTCGCTCTTAATGTTTTTCTTTTACTGGCATATGTGTGAATCGTTATGGACCGATCCTCTTCAAATTTTGCACGTAAATGAACCTGGCCACGAAGAACGTTTTTACATAAATATGTTTACGGACGTGCTAATAAAGTTAGGCCTGCGATGTGGCCCCACAGTGAATTGGTGTTTCGATTCTGGTACTCGTAATCATATATGATCAGCTATAGCTGTTCCGTGACCTCGCATCCTTTCCCAACCTGAACAGTCGATTGCTCCCTGGAAGCGCTGTATAAGCAGTTCCAGTACTTGAGATGCTTTAAGAGCCTCGTTGTAATATATTTACCATAAATTTGTACTTCCATAACTTCTTCTTAGATTTGTCTAATAGTTATAGAAGCACAAGTAGCCTG